TTGTTTTTTCACATTGATTCACGATTACGGCTGGTATGCGATAGAAAGAGCGTTGATCTCCACCTCCACGGGCCGTGCAACCAACAAATACACACGATTTCACCATTTTTCACTGTCAATACTGCCTAAGGCTGCCACCCAATATGGCGGACGCGCTGAGTAGTCACGTGAGCGCGATGTCACCTGAAAACCCCCCATTGAACAAAGCCATGCTGTATCCCCGTCTCTTACCTGAGGTGCACTCCAAGGCCTCTGTGCTTTCCAGAACACTCCAGGCAGATCCAAATGCCATATGTCACACTGACCCACTGAGGGTTAAACGCTCCACACTCAAAACAAAGCTGGGAAGCAAAAGATTGATGGGAAAAGATCAAATTAAATCAGTAAAGGTGGTTTTCCTGTATTTATACCACATTCTGTGAGAAATCTAAGTCAGCTAGTCACCAAGTTGACATGGTATCAATAATACCAGTGTTTGCATATTTCTTATTATTGTTAATTTTTTATTTATAGATTATTTGTAGATTAAAGAAATAGCTCAATCTTAAAATATTTTCAAATTGTGTTGCAATTGCCTCATTTATTTGCACAATTGTTTAACTAATAGTTTCAGAGATTCTGTTGAGAAATCATAAAAAAATGAATGGTTTTCATTTCTTTAATTATGCAGCATTTTTTATCGCCATGGTATCGAAAATACCATAGGGAAAGCAAAGGCTTGTTTTGGCTTAGAAAACATGCAAATTGAAACAGACAAACGGGTCCACCCCTTAGGAATGGGTGCTTTTTGGGTTCTTTGTTAGCCTGCAATGCCTGATGCCTGTCTATGTCTATGATTTCAGGGTTTATGAAAGGATCAAAGCGTTTATCAGAATCCCTCATACGCAAAATGCTTTCAGCTTTCCGAAAGGCGAGAGTCACCTGCCCTGCACATCTCAATCAAATTCTGCAGAGCTCGTTTTGGAGTCAGCTGTGCTGAAACATAGACCATGATGTATCCTGGAGGCCTGGAGTTGGAGTGCCACTGCTATAAAGCTAAGAGGCGGTTTGCTATTGGATGAAATCAACCTACCGTATTTTCACGACTATAAGGCGCACTTAAACGTCTTTTTTCCCCCTCAAAATGTGCGGTGCGCCCTTTGGTGCGGTGCGTCCTATGTGTGTTGTAACTGCGACTTTTGAGACCACCTCATTGAGGAGATGATGAAAGAGTGGCTGAATGTAAGGAGACCA